CAGCTTTCCCGCTGGCGGGAGGAACTCATTGTTTGCCTCCACATGTTGGTCGGTATTGTGCTTTTCTGTATGCTGTTGAACTTTCATTCGGTTGGGGGTTTATTGGTTAGGTTAGATTTATCAGTCTTCGTTGTTTGTTCCGTAACACAACCACTGTTGATCAACTGAGCGATTCCCAACCCATAATTTTGGGTAAGTATAGATATCCCTATTTCCGATCCCAGTGTGTTGTTGACTAATTCCCCAGTCAAGTGAGCACCATGCACACCCCTGAATGCCTCACCAGTGCTTCCGCCGGAAAACCCTCATGATTTTGTGTTTTTTGCTCTCCGCATGCACCGCTTCTCTCTCATCTTCGTACCACTAGGTTATCACATGTGTTTTGCTTACCCATTTCGGAGCACCACCAGTTGAATTTGCTTATCGCTGATCCCCCCTTCCTACCACCACTAGCGTGCTGGATTCACCTCAGATGAACAGGGTGTTCCGTTGGAGCGAGCTGCTAATGCCGCGCCCAAACTAATCCACATTAACTCACCGGGATCTCGGACCAGTGGTGTAGCACCATCTGTGCCGACATCGCCCCATGGAGCTCAACCAATGAATGTCAAGTGCCACCCTCCACCACCTCCACCTCCAGTCAGTGCGACTCAGACGCCGACCGTCACTACTTTGTCTATCGATTTTGGACGAAGATTTAAGTTCCTGAGCGATGCAGAACTACCACCACCCCCAGAGGCATACAAGGGTCCGCATACGTACCGTACGGGAGCAAACCGAACTGGTGCGTTTTTTTAAGTTCCTGTTCCTGTAGATAGTTTTGTGTCGTGTCCGTGGTTATCGTTGCCCACTGAAAGCCGTCCCAGGTTTGACCTATAATCCTAGAAGACTATCGCCCTTAAATAGACCCACCGCTGATATCTCGGTGTTCGTTGGATTTCCACCCGTTGCTATTGTGAGGATTCACCTGACCTTTTCAACATGCTCATGATCAAATGTGGCTAAAAACACGCTCAGGAGCTGCCAGCCTTTAGATGAGAATCTTTACTACGTAGTCTCAGAAATATCACTCTGTAGGTGTCTGCTCAACGGTAAATGTCGCTTGGTTGCTGACTGCTGTCTGTCATACTGGAGGGCGATCTAAGTGTTGTGCTAGGTAGGCTCGTTGTTCAGTAGTCCGAAACTCTTCAATGTGTGTTATTGGCTAGATGCGTTAGGGTGTTTTGAGGGCGTTGTGCGTTCATCCACACCGACGGTAAGTTGTTGTGAAACGGAACGGCGCCTTGTCTTTTATCCGCAAACACACCAGCAACGCACCTGCTGGGTTGGGAATAGACTAACATGCAGTCGACAGCTGATCGCGGAATGCTCTAACAGGATGTCTCATCGCTTTTTACCGTTTGTTTGATTTTTGGGGCGAGATGGACCAAGTGGTTAGAGCGCGAATTTACTTACTGGAAGGTCCGTGGTTCTTGCCCGACCACTGCATCTGGAGGCGTAGGCACCTCGGAATGATTGTGTTAAGCTGGCACCAAGTCCCTTCACTGCCCACCTTTATTCTTTTCTTTACAATAAGGCTTTCAAATAAGTCATGGTTGTACGGCAGTGAAGCATCGGTGTTGAACACTGATGTCATGCTGTCGATGATGATGATGACTGCATCTCGAATTCCCCTGTCTAGGCTTGAGCAACCTGGCAGTACCCCAGACCGCGTGCCTCTTACGTGTTGCATGGCAGCTAGTCACCGAAAGGGTGCTACAGCTGAACGACTTTTTTCCACACTTCGTTTTCCTTTTCTCCACAGCCCCTCGACGTCCACCTCCGATGTCTACTGGTGACTCTCTTCGGTCCTAGTCGGGCCCGCAGCTTCTCTGTCATCGCTCTATCTTCGCACCGTGAGCTACGCCCCCATGATCAATGAAGAGGTGATTACCCGTTTTTACCATTTATTGCTGCCCAATCATCCACTTGGCGGAGAAAGCAAGCGGCTCTCTCACCATCCTCCCCCCACACACACTTATCAACTCCTATGTATACTTCTTTCTCTCTGTGTGCTTTCATCAATCCTACTACACATGTTTACCGCAAACTGTTGGTCTTTTTTTTCTTCACAGAATCCTTTTGGTACTAACGACGCCCGTCTGTCATATGATCTTTCTATCTTCAGAGTACTTTACTGCTTTAATATTCTTTTTCTGACACACACACAAACGGAGTGGCAGTGCGCATCTGGCTGTCTCCTGTTCAGAT